GAATATGAGTAAGTTTACTTATCCCTGTTTCATTGTCACTTTTTCGGTGTAACCCCTTCTTTCGTTTCTGAAGAACTCACGCTCGTTCCACCTACATTCACTGCTCGTTTTTGTAATTCCAACCTTGTCCGCTTCACAAAAATGGAAAAAAAATGTTACAAAAATATTTTCTTTACTTTTTCCCTTATCAAACTGTTGGAGAAATCGTCGAATCACTGGTCAACATTCCATTTAGAAAACTCTCCGAAATTTCTGAGGTCGCAGCGGTCCTAGCGGTAGGGTCGACAGAGAGAGCAGAGCGGTATGAGGTCCCAACAAACCAGAGATACCACGAGGTTGTGACGACAGAACATTGTCGTCCATATAAATTCTGTGTTCGGGAGGTGTCTTTGAAATTGCCTAACAATAATGTTGTTATTGTCTAACAATATATGGACAATAAGTAATAACATAATAATTTAAAGTAGTATAATGGGGAAACATAATAAATAAATAGTATAACACTAAAGATTTCCCGCTTTTAGCAATTATCGTCTTTCTAAATCGAGTATCATTGTGTGTACGTTGTGTAACGGAACCTAGATGAAACTCAATCCTCAAGATCATGAATCAAGCGCTCCGTTCGGAGGCCGGTCCCGGGTGGCCAAAAGGATCAAACTGCTCCGTGACTTTCACTTGCGCCATTCAGAAGCTCAGTTCATCTCAATGCAGTCTTTCGGTTAACATTTTGTCATACATAGTATATATACCTGCTCGTCAAATTATATTCCAGAATGTGGTGGTTATTTGTGCATGCAGCTATCTGCGTCAGCTTCCTCGCGTCAGCGCTCGCGACATGGTTCCCTAAGAACCTACCGGCATTAGTTAGAGCATCTTCTGTTGGTCATTTATTGCTCGGACTCTGTCTACTGCTTACACCGAGCTATTTTCTCGGAATTACGGTGAGTTAGTTTCTCCTTGTTTGCCTGCTTTTTTTGTGATAAGGTTGCAAGGTGCTATTAGGACGTTCAGAAAGTTCTGCGTCTTCGGGCCCACATAAATACGCACAGCTCAGCTCTAAGCGTCTTCAGTCTACATAGAAGCCTTTACAATTAAAAAAGCCTTTGCCATTAAGAACCGGTTTATTCAACTCAGTTACACAGAGTGCTGTTGTTGTGGAACGTCGCTCCAGCAGCACGTTGAGTTTGAAATTCCTCTTGAAGGGAACTCGCCATGTGGTAAAATTGGCAAATGGTGGGTAGGAGTTTATCAAGTAAGGCGGTCTCAGCAAAGTTATCTATCCCAGCAAGTTCAGCTTTGCAGCGTTAACACATTGACGACAACGCGAGTTTTGGCTTTTTTGGCCACGTGGGACCGCGGCGATTTTGCGGGCGCGCTCGCCTCAGGTCGTTCAAGCAGATTTTGAGTGATAAATACACAACTAATGATCAATTCAAAACCAAATCAGTAAATTGTAATGAGCACAACCTACCAGGGGTACAGTAGTGGAATTTCCATCCAATGAGAAATCCTCCTCTAAATTAAAGCATACGTGACCATTCTATGGGCCACTATGTTTGTAGCTACGTCAAGGTCTCTTCCATGGAATGAATACAAGAAACTTCTAAAAGAATCAGGCGTGCGCGAAAAAATGAGTGTAATGGGTGCGGGGGATATATATCCCGCACGGTCCGACATGGCCTGCAATGCGCGGGATATATGTACATATATCCCCCGCGTTGTCGTGCATGTGTTAATTGTG